TTGCGGCGGACCCCGGGCTAGAATCGCTGGCGCATTTTTGTGGCCGGGCAGCGGAGGATAGGGCCCACTGGGTCCGACAAGTTCAAGAGAAGCCCCAATACCTGCAAGAGGCAGCCTCCTCTTCTCTCTCTCTCTGCCGTCGAGTGGAGATTGACCCAGCTCCACCATCCATTTGCAGCCGTGTGACTTCGCGCAAGTTGTTTGTTTATAGGGTGCAAAAGAGCCATCTCTCAAAATGTGATGTAAAGAGCACATGCATTAAGTGTTCAAAGAGACAAAGAGACACAAAGGCACAGACACATCGCCTGCGGAGGGAGGTCACTGATACACGAGGATAAATGACGTCTGAGAATTCACCATTGGGGAACGAGATCTTTAGGGAATGGGGACTGAGGGCACAGGAAACTGCCACCGAAGCATGGTTGGTAGCAGGTCAACACATCACCATTACAGCTGGAGCTGGGCCATGGTTGGGACACGAACATCGTTTGAAGGGCTTACAAGATTCCTGTCCTGGGCCTTCCCCCCCAGTCAGGGCAAGACTGATGGGGCATGACTCAGGACTATGTGCACCCCTGTTCGCCCCCAACCACACTCCCGTACGGTCCCCTCCATCCAGGACACACCTAGGCAAGCCCCTAAAAGACAGACTGTCCCTCCCTGGGCTGGTCAGGGAGGTGTGGAGGCAGCCCATTCTACAAAACACTATGCCTGAGGACAAGATGATCTCCATCCTTGGTTGACCATCAGAAAGTAGTCAATGGAGACTTAATCTCTGGGGCCTCTGCAGATGGATTTGGGGCTGTCACTGCCATCCATTCATAGCCGTTTGCAAACCGGGGTGCTCAGAATGTGAGCTCAAATACAAAGCCAATGTTCCTCTCTCTGGGCCCAGATGACTTCTTTGTGACGAGCTCAGGGACCCCATCGATTTTTATTCCTTTCTTTATTCCCAGTACCTAACTAGAACGCTCCTGCGGAACTTGAACATGGATCAAGAAGCAGTCCTTTGGACAGAACAAGGAAATACTGCAAGATTTCGAATCAATAAAGGTGTGCATCAGGGCCCTATCCTCTTCCCATACTTACTTAATCTCTATGTTGAGCACTTAATCAGAGAAATTAGATTATTTGTAGAGGAACGTGGTATCAGGGATGGAGGAAGGCTTATTAACAACCTGCGATAGGCAGATAAGGGGGACTTTGGTGAAAATTTCCTTCCTTTCAGTTCTTTATGCTCACAAACTTTTTGAAGTCTCCTCATACTGGTTTTTGAGGAGAAAATATTGGTTTTTGAATGGAGAAAATGTGGTGGGAAATCGTCAATGTTCTCTTTACACCTCCTCCCCTACTTTATTCTGTACAATGATTTTGAGATTTGAAAGATTTCTATTGAGACAGAAAACACGAGGAGACGATTTTAAATGAAGAAAGTGCATTTCTGCTTTATAGAGGACTTTATTGATATAGTAGAGCATAGGATAATACATCTTCCCTCTGTAGAGTGTGGCTGGACAGTCACCTGCAAAATGTGGTTAACAGCAGTACTGTTATCTAGCGCCGCCATATCAGGACCGCCACAAGCGGGTGCCTTTAATGAACAGAAGGTTCATATCGCACCGTTCAGGAGGCTAGTGGTTCAAATTCTTGGCTTTGAAGAGGAAGATTCGGCTTCCTCTTGGGGCTCTCTGGGAATGTCTTTGCCAGCTTGCCTCTGGGTACCTTGACCTCATGGTGCAAACTCATATCTTGTCTCATCCCTACTTCGCCTGTCCTTTCATATCTCAAGAGGAGCCCTGGTGGCGTAGTGGCTCTGAGCTGGGCTGCTGACAGAAAGCACAGCCATTCGGAACCCCCAGCCTCTCCTAAAAAGAAAGGGGGGCTTTCTACTCCCGTAGGGTTAATAGTCTCTGAAAGACACAGGGGCCTTCTACCCTCTCCTCTCGGGGAGCTGTGAGTCGGCAGGGCCTCTGTGGCAATGAGGGTCTATCTCAAAAGAAAGGGACTGGACACACCCTACTGCAAATGGCCTTGTTAATGTAACGAAGACAATCCACTCCCAAACAGGACTATCACCACCGTGGTTCTGACTTGGGCTTCGATCAGAAAGGTCCACCGTTGGAAACCACCAACCGCTCCCAGGGAGAAAGACGGGGCTCTCTACTCCTGTAAAGAGTTACCGTCTTGGAAACTCACAGGGCAGTCAGTCCGACCCTGTCCTATCAGGTGGCGAAGAGTCAGCATGGGCCCTGTGGCAGTGATGTTTTGGACAGGCTATTTATGAGGATACACACTTCAATGCCTGTTTGAAACAGTGCCGGGGAGAAAATAGCTGCTGAATAAATGTGATGAAAGCTATCAGCATGTTGTTACGTACCTTTGCGTCTTCTGACTCAGTGACCCTGTGTACAGCAGAATGAAACGATACCCTAATCCTGTGCCCTCCTCACCGTCTCTGGGCTAATCCACTATTGCACCAATGGAGTCCACCCATCTCCGTGAGGGTCTGCCTCTTTTCCATGGACCCTCTACTTGACCGAGCATGAATGATATTCTTCTCCAGGGACGGGCCCCTCCAGATGCCATGTCCAAAGTCCATGAGATGAAGGCTGCTCTTCCTCACCTCCAAGGATCATTCTGGCTTTATTTCCTCCGGGACAGATTTGTTTTATTGTTTTTTCCTTTAACAATTTTGTGGGCACACATCATGCAATTCAATAGTCCAATCGTATCAAGAAGAATTGTACAATTATTACCACCCCCCCAATCAATTTTAGAACATTTTCTTTCTTCTTCTTTTTTTTTTTCATGGTTAAATCACTTTTAAAATGAGTTGTGGGGAATTCGTTTCTTCTTTTGGGCAATCTGCTCCTTTCTGTAACCTTTGCCAACACCACAATCCACACGAACCCTCTTCTCTGGCCTTCCTTGTTCGCTGTCCAGCTTGCGCATGCCCATGAGGTTATTAAAAATGGCTTGGCTTGTGTCAGGCACACCTTAGCCTTCAAAAGGACACCGTTTCTTTCTAACACTTTAAAGCAGTCTGTCTGCAGCAGGTTGTCCCAATGTAATCTATCACCTATGAAAAGAATGAACAATTGCCATCACAGGGTTATGATAACTTCAAAGGGCCTGTCACAGAACTGGGAGCCCTGGGAGCCGAGTGGTGCACACGGGGCTGCTGACTGCAAAGCGGGCAGTTCAAGACCACCAGCCAGCTCCTCGGGAGAAAGACGAGGCTTTCTTCTCCCATAAAGAGTTACAGTCTCAGTTCTACCCTCTCCTATAGGGTCGCCATGAAGTTGGCATCCACCGGATGGCCGGGAGATTGGGATTTGGTTTGGTCAGGTCACGGGGAGAAAAATAAGGCTTTCTACTTCTATAAAGGGTTACGGTGTGGGGAACCCACGAGAGCAGTGCTCCCCTGTCCTAGAGGGTCTCCATGAGTTGGAATCAACCCACTGGCAGGGAGAACGTGATCGCTTTGGAAACCCAGGGGGCAGTTCTACCCTGTCCTGCAAGGGCCCTGTAATTGACTGGATGGTACTGAGAGGTTCTGAGTCATAGAGCAGGGTCTCACTCTTGTTTTCCTTAGTGCTCAGAGTTAGGGGATGGGGAGCAGGGCCTGCTTAGTCTTTGTCTTTTCTGAGTTCCACGCTTATCTGCTTTTTCATGGTCTAACTATCTCTCCGACTTCAGGGAAGCCTCTCCCTCTTTCCCCTCCCCAGGGTGGCCTATCATCCTCCCCCAGGACCCAGCCTTGGGGTGTTCCCCGCCTAGGCCAACACTTGCCTCCTTTGCCTACCTCTTGTGTGACTCACAGACGCACAGAGTGTGGGTGAGACAGACGTCCCCAGCACAGTTGCCCGGCAAGTGAGCACTGCCAAGGGGGGACAGCATCTCAGAACAGAGCAGGCTTTGAAGAGCTCTGGAGAGGCCAGCTGGAAGGGTGGCCCCCGGAGCACCGGGGGCTAAAAGAAGTGAGGGGGCCAGGAAAGGATCATCAGGGGCACAGGAACCCCAGACTTAACTTCCGCCTCTTTCTCTTCCCAGGCCGATGGCTCTTCTTCAGGCCAATAAAGATCTCATTTCCACCGGAATGAAGGAATTTCGTGTTCTGCTGGATCAGCAGGTGAGGGTGACACTCTGTTTCATAGGAGAGGCCTGGGGAAGAGCGAGGAGAGGGCAGAGAAGGGAGAATAATTTGGAATTGGAGAGCCATGGTGCCGATGATGGCCCAGTTCAAGGCCCCAAACCCAAACAAGACAAACTCCCTGTCATCGAGTCGGTGCCGACTCACGGCAACCCCATAGGGCCGGGCAGAACTGCCCCTGTGGGTTTCTGAGACAGCCACTCTTCAAGGGAGGAGAAAGCCTCGTCTTTCTCTTGCAGAGTGGCTGGTGGTTTAGAACTGCTGGCCTTGCACTTAGCAGCCCGACTCCTAAGCCAACTGGAGGGAAGAGGATGTGAGTTTGCACGGGCTGCTGCTTGCGCTCTTGAATTGAATGGCTGACCACGCTCTCCTTCCCGCTATCCCTTCCTCCAGGTCATAGGCAATAAGTCCGTCTCTGAAGAAGACATGGCGACTGTGGTGGATGACTGGGTGAGCTTCTACATCAACTACTACAGGCCGAGAATGAGCGGGGACCCGCAAGAGCAGGACAGGGCTCTGCAGGAACTCCGCCGGGAGCTGAATACGCTGGCCCACCCTTTCCTGGAGAAATACAGGGCCTTCCTGAAGTCCCTGTGAGAAGCCGAGGGGCCAGGCCTCCAACTTGAGAAATCCACACTCCTGGCTCTACGTCCCGGTCCCTGGGCACCCCTCTTTCATGCGGTGATGCTACTTAGCCACCTCAATAAAGACAGATGGATTTTTCTTCCAGCGTCTGTCCTGTCTTAGGGAGGAGGCCGTGGGGATGTTTAATTTCAGCTTTGCGTTCTCGATCGGATCTTGGAGATATAAATTCATTAGAGCAAACTTAAGCTCCCACTCACTAGTCCTTAGCTAGTCTGGGAGGCAGGGTCCGAAGAAAAAGCTCTGGGAGAGGCAGGGTTGGTGGTGGCTGCGGGCGGGAGACTTGGTGGGGAAAAAAATGTGTATGGTGTGTGTGTGACAGGCTAGTCCCCCAGCTGTATGTATTTGAGTGAGTGAGTGAGTGTGTGTGTGTGTGTGTGTGTGTGTGTGTGTGTGTGTTGGGCGATTCCCCCAGCTGTATGTATTTACTCAGGGCCAGGTGGAACTTTGAGCCCACCTAATACTCTCCAGTCCCGCCGTCAGGTAAGCATTGGTCTGTTAACCGCAAAGTTGATGGTTCAAAGCCACCAGTCACTCTTTAGCAGAAAGAGGAGGCTGGAGGCTTCTGTCAAGATTACAGCCTTGGAGTGCCCACTTAGGCGCGGCATGGGCAGAGAAGTTTGTTCTGTTTTAGGGCAGAATCAGGGCCAGGATAGGCTCTCAGACTTAAAAAAAAAAAAAAAGGAATGAACTGAAGGTGTTAGGGAGCGCAGCAGGGATCCCAGGGAGGCTCACTGCAAACCGAAAATGGGGTGGGCGGGGCTTGCAGCGCAGCTTGAGGTGGGACGCCCCAGGAATCAGCTAATCACAGGCCCTGTAGGCGGGCTCCCCGCAGGTGGGGGCTGTCACTCAGTGATTTGCTTTGTTACCTCTAAGGCAGCGGTTCTCAACCTGTGGGTCTTGACCCCTTTAGGGGTCAAATGACCCTTTCACGGGGGTCGCCTAAGACCATCAGAAAACACATATTTCTGATGGTCTCAGGAACCGAGACACCGCTCCTCTATCCGTCTCCAGGCGGGTCCGCCCTCATGCAGTAGGAGTACCTGCGTGAAGACTTTTACCCATGCTACACTATGCTTCAAGACAAAATGCCATTTATTTGTCATTAGAAATAGATATTTCACAATAGATAGTGACATTGTTTTTGTGACTCATCGGGATGCTATAATTAGGTTCAATTTGTAACAATGAAAATGCATCCTGCCTGTCATATTTCATGATGATTCATAACTAGTATAATTACAGTGATGAAGTAGCAAACGAAAATAATGTTATGGTTGGGGGTCACCCCAACATGAGGAATCATAGGAACGGGTCACGGCATGAGGAAGGTTGAGAACCGCTACTCTGAGGCTTCTTGGACGCCCTGTGGCAGAGTGGGCACATTGCACCACTCACTGCGTGTGCAGTTCAAAACCACCAGCCTCTTGGTGGGAGAAAGATGGGGCTTTCCACTCCCTTAAACAGTTATGGTCTAAAAAGAGTTACAGTCTAGGAAACTCACAGGGGCAGTTGAACCCCGAGTTGGCATCGTCTTGACAAGAGTGGGTTTGGGTTTGAGTTTTGAAGGGCGCTAGAGGCATGTCATGTGTTAAGGAGCCTGCAGAGAGGCGCTGAAGGGGTGGGAAGTGAGGGGCCACCGAGGAGATCGATCTGCGCAGGATCTTCAGAGTGGGGCAGTGTTTCGAGAGCCTGAAGGCAAACAGGGCATGAAGCCCTCCCTGGTCCCCAATCGTCCTCACAACTGTGGTTGTAGCCCATTGTTGAGCCATTGCGTCCACCCATCATACCATGGCTCTTCCTCTTTGTCCACTGCCTAATGTCCTTTCCCAGGGACGGGACTCTCCTGACAACAGGTCTGCTGTATGTAGGAGAGGTGAAGTCTCACTACCCTCGCTTCTAAGGCGCATTCTGGCTATTTCCCAAGACAGGCCGTCTCTGGGACCTTCCGTAGTCTCCCGCGGCCCCACCGTTCATTGTGCCGATTCTTCTCTGGTCTTCCTTACTCTCACCCGCACAGGAGGCGATGGACAGAGCCATGGCTTGTCCTCAGCATGACGGACTATGTACCTCGCTGGGCCCCGGGGCCATTTGCTTTGCTTTGTCCCAGTCCACTCGATGGCCAGTGAGTTTGGTTGGGTTTGAGGTGGAGAGTGGGGTGACGCCCACCTCAGACTGCCCCCAGAGGAGACAGCTTTCCAACTTTAGGGTGCCGGGTGGCCCCAGACCCTACAAGAGCTGTAGCTGCAGCGAGGGCCCCTGAGAAGGACGGCAGGAAGCGGCGTCGATGTCCATGAGGGGCAAGGTGCTGCCTCAGGAGTGGGGGAGACAAACACGCTTCCATGGTTCAGACATGAAGGCGGATGACCGGTTGTCATGGAGCCGGTTCTGCACCCTGCAGGGTTTTCAGGGGCTCATTCCCCCAAAGATCGCCAGGGTTTTCTTTGGAGATACCTCTGGGTGGATGAACCTGCCTCCTGTCTGTTAGCAGGGAGTCCATTCGTGGATAGCCCCGCCCTTGGACGAACTATGGAGAAGGATGAAAAAGATCACCACAGGAGGTGGGGAAGTACAACGCCTAAACGCCCTCCCCACTATGCCCCCAGAGGGTGTGACATCTAGTAGTTGAAAACACCTGACCCTGACAACTGAGCTCACCTTGACCTTGAGCCTAACCTTCTCCCTGAGTTGTCAGTCACTCTGGCCTTGACTCGGCCCTAAAAGCTGAGCTAAGAGCTTCCCTCTGTTCTTCCTCCGAACAGTTCAGACACTGGCCAGCACCTTGGCTGTACTCCAAATTGTAATCTAAACCTGACCCCCACCCTGGGCTTGAACTTGGTCTTCCACTTGTCTATCCCTGATGTCACCCTGACACAGACCCTAACCAAGATGCTACCCAGACCTAATCCCTAATCCTGAGGATCACCTTGATGATCACACTACCCTCATACTCACCCTGGTCTTGAACTTGATCCTGAACACTACCAGATGCTAATTTTCATGACAGACGGATGCTGACCTGGAAACCTCTACTTCATCCCACCCTGACACTTACCCTGAACCTGTCTCTCACACCCTAAAAGCAGATCTTGTCTCTACGTTTTGCTGAACCTAAACCAGACCCTCAACTGGCCCTGGACCCCAAGGTTCACCCTCATCATGATGCAGAATGGAACACTGAGACTGACCCATACTTATGCCCGTAAGGGTATGGCCCAACACACCCTGATGCTGACATTGGCTGTTGTCAATGAACCTAAAAGGGTCCCTGCCTATCGACATCCAATCTCTGGAGAGAGAGAAAGTCGCTTTCTTGAAACGTGTTGAGTCAGGAGCCAGGTGATGGGTCTTTGGTTCTGATGAGGGTTTCAGTCATGGTGAGGAAATGGGCAGAGACGTGAAATCGTAAGAACAGAGGTGACCTAAGCCTGGGGACTGGTTGAGCACCTGAACAGTCCCGCGTAAAGGCTGAGCACTATTTAATCTCTGTGCATGTGCCCAGGAAAGGGGAGGGCCCTGTGCTCTGGGGAACAGAAAGTTTTGATAGAGGCTTTCAGAGGTTGCTTCCATTGGCTGAACGGTTCTGGGCATGTGTGGGGGCTGAAACTAGTTGAGTCTGGTTTGGGCTGATTCTTCTGAATATTGCTGCTTGCATCTGAAAGATAATTAAAAGGAAGTTATTTACCATAGTGAGTTAGCAAACGAATAGGGTAATAATATTAGTGCCCAGATGGGGTGATTTTATCTTGCCCCTCACTTGGACATAGACCTAACCCTAATTCCCGTCCTGCTCTTTTATTTGACCCTCGCTCTGACCTTAACTATAACCTTGACCATTCATTCCCCAAACCTCCTTCTCTTCATCTGACTTTGAAGTTGAACTGTGCCCTGGGCCCTGGCATTCATCTGACTTGACTCATACTTTCATGTTTATTCTTCACCTCTCCTGACCGCCTTGGCCCTGAACTTGACACTGACCATGATTCTGAACCCAACCAACCACTTTGTTTCCGACTTTTACATTCCACCGGAAAAATATTACCAATGAACCCTGGTTGCATGATTGGTCAATTTCAGCCTGAAGATGTCGGTAGAAGTCTTCAATGTCTTCATCAATAGCTCAAGTGGGTTTGTGTGTGTGCGTGTTTGTGTGTGTGTGTGTGTGTGTGTGCATTAATTTGAATAATAGTTGTGTGGTGGCTTGCATTGCTTTGAAGGAGGATAGATATGATCCTATCACAGACAGCATTGAACTTCAAGAGAGACCTTGAAATGTCCTTCTGGACATGCAGGCAACCCCATTCGCCTTGGCTGTGTCAGTAAACATATGGTTTTTCTGAGTCAGATTGGCCAGTGCCCGTCCATCTCAGCTCACTGACACCAACGCTTATTAATCCTGAGTTCCACTTATTCCTTGAAGACTTCCAATTTTCTTAGAGTCATACTTCAAACGTTCCCAGTTCCGATCTTTAATTGCTTCTCAACTGGAGTCCTGCCACATCAGCAAAGGAAGATCCCGATGTGTCACTCCATTTGCGTCATCATGGCCAATCTGTTCTGGGGTCATATTTCAAGGGTCCTCTGGGCCTAGGGGAGCCCCTCCTCTGACACCGTCTCCAAGGACGCCCTGCTCCCCGCTCCCCTTCCTCGGGCCTCGGTGTCTGACAATGTCTCAAAGCCATCCACGCGAGACTTTCAATGGCTTCTCCCTCCGATGCTGCTGGCCAACGACTTCTTTGGAGTCTGTTCTCAGTCTGGAAGCTCCCCTGACACCTACTCCTGGGAGTGACCCTGCCGGCATCGGAATCCCTAGTGACATCGCTTCCAGCATCCCCTCCACACACAGGTCACCGCAGGACCACCGATGGGCTGGCGGCGGGCGGAGGAACGGAGAAGGCGGCATGGTTCAAGGTCAGGAAAGGTGTGTGTCCAGGTGGCAGCCTCTCCCCACACTCCTGCAGTCTGTGTGCTGAGCGAATCATCAGAGCAGCGGGAGGATGTGGAGAAGGCGGCGGCACCAGGAGCAGGAGCGGAGGAAGGCTGACTCACCAGTTGCCATCGGCGGGCGGGAGAAAGGTTCCCCGGCA